ACGAAAATGTGTTCGATGATGTCAAATGCTATTTATAGAAAATCTACTGGAAAAAATCCAAGTGGAGGTCTTTCACAGGCTTTGCCTGTTGCCCAATTATTTGTGTATGCAAGACCTATACAATCAATTTCCTTATATGGGAAAAAAACCCAATTCATACTCGGAGGAAAAACTCAACATGCAGTCATTTGTTTATCCACAAAAATACATGTTTTTCTTTAGTTTGATTCAAGGTTCGGACGCAAACACTACCTTCTCTTCTTGCAAAAAATTGTGAAAAAAATCTGTTTTACCAATATTCGCTATCACGGGTAATACTTTAGCAGGCAAAAGAATGGTTTACCTTTTGAAGAGAAGATTGAAATCAATTTCCTGAAAGAATACAACTTTTTTAAAACATTGGTATCGTTATTATATATAATTTTAGTTAAGGACAATATAGGCCTGCATAGTTATGGCATTTTGTTTAATTCTGTTTCATCATTTATGTATTAATAAATTAATAGGACAATTTTTGTAGACCATTTTATATATAATTGTTCTCATATATTTTGTGTAACCACTATTTATTAATGGGAATTTTACCCCTTTACAAACAAATATCTTTGAAGGGAGCAATTTTTCATCCGGAACAAAATTATTGTCATATGCAGAAAAATTAGATAAAATAAATGTAGTATACAAATTTGTTTTAAATTTTGCAATATCGTTGAATAAACTAAAACGAATTGTCCTGCATGTTTTATGCGTTTTACTTGTCCTATTTTCAATCAAAATTGCCATGTGTGTTATGCATTTTATGATAAATACAATACTTGCCAGGTGTCCAGTAATTGATAAGATACATACAAAGCCCTTTTTGTTTTCACTATTGTCTTGTATTTTGTTGACTGTAGGTTGAATGCTTGTAATTAGATAAAGGTTAAAGTCAACACAATTAACTCAATCTACCCTCATTAAGTGGAGATAATTAAACTATTTTTCAAAATGAGTCAGGACAGCAATTGTTCGCTCACCCCTACTAGAAGTAGTCTAATTTATTAACGTACTCAAGCTCTATGATTTAATGAAATAACTTTTATAACCAAAAAGTATAAGTTGTATTACTAATTAAAACACACGCCTGAAGATGTCACGGTGGCCTTGACGACGAATTTCTTTTCGACTCGGTCTCAAAAACAGGTTAGTCTATAAATTAGATAGTATGTTGGTCAGGTAAAACAATGCTTTTCAGTCAGAGCTCCTTGACGAGAATTGGCCAAGATATTTTACTTTTTATAAAACAGTACCTANCGTTAGGGATTGTGTGGGCATGTGAACGTCTACACATGTACTTATACGGAGCTGAATTCACACTACTTACCGATCACAAACCATTGGAGTGCATATACTCGACAACGTCAAACGGTAAATCGAGCGCAAGGATACACCGTTGGGTACTAAGACTACAGACATACCGATTTACTGTCAAGTATATCCCAGGCAAGCAGAACATTGCTGACAGCCTATCGCGGCTCATCGAGAGCAAGGGGAATAACTCTAGTACGCAGCCAACCGATGCCGAAACGTACGTCAGATTTGTTGCCCAAAACGCGACACCGAACGCCCTATCGACACGACAAATAGAAGAGGAGTCCGCTGTCGATGAGGAACTTTGTAATGTTAGAAAGTGCATTAAAACACAAAGGTGGCATGAACTTACAAACAAAAGGTATTTGGCAGTGAAAGATGAACTATGTATCATAGGAATGTTGGTACTGAGAGGAACGCGAATAGTAATTCCCGAAACGCTGCGCGAAACAGTTTTGAAACTCGCACACGAAGGACATCCAGGAATCGTGAGTATGAAACGACGGATTCGTACAAAAGTGTGGTGGTTTGGAATAGATAAGGACTCTGAACAATTTTGTAAAACTTGTTATTCCTGCCAGCTACTAGGATCAACACAGGCTCCGGAACCGATGAAAACTACGGAACTACCCTCAGGTCCTTGGCAGCATGTATCAGCTGATCTGATGTCACTTCCATCCGGTGACTATATTTTTGTAGTTGTTGATTACTACAGTAGGTACTTTGAAGTTGACACGATGAAATCTACAACAACGGACAAAATAGTGCGTAGTCTGGGGAAAATGTTTCTCACACACGGGTTTCCGATTAGTATTACGACAGACAACGGTCCTCAGTTTGTGAGCGAACTGTTCAAAGATTACCTTGCAGAACGAGGTATTGAACATCGGAGAGTTACCCCCCTTTGGCCTCAAGCTAACGGTGAGGTGGAGCGACAGAATCGCTCCCTACTCAAAAGTGTCCGAATCGCTCAACTGGAAAGAAAAGACTGGAAAACAGAACTCGATTCATTCTTGTTAATGTATCGTACCACTCCACACTCTGTAACTGGAGTGAGTCCCGCCGAACTTTTGTTCAAACGCAAACTTCGAACGCGCATTCCAGGAATTGAGGAGCATTCAGTAGATGACATCGAAGTTCGTGACCGAAATAATGAAAACAAAATGAAAGGGAAATTATATGCAGACGGAAAGAGAAACGCGCGCGAAAACGACCTTAAAACAGGAGATGATGTACTGTTAAGACAAGAGAGACAAAATAAACTGACACCGAAATATCAGGAACAGCCATATACAGTCAAGGCTAAATCTGGAAATTCTGTGCTAATTGAACGAGACGGAGTACAGTACAAACGCAACGTTACACATGTGAAAAAGTTCTTGAAAAGAACTGATGGACAGAATCGTAGTGAGCTAAGCAAGCCCACAAGTATCAACCGTGATACTCCGATTGTTGACATTGATGAGGAATCAATTCCATGCAAAACCGATGAGTGTAATGATCGTGAAACGGTTACAGAAAATGCGAGTATGCCAACTAGTAGTGTACTAGCCTCTCCGCGCCCAGTTCGCGTCAAGACAATGCCTCACAAATTCAAAGACTATGAGGTTACGCTTAAGTGACTTGATATATGTATGTTTACCATACATAAGTTAGTAGTTTTTAACTATCCTAACTTAAAGACTTTATTTTCGGTTGGAAAAAAAAAAAACAGTTACCGCAATTCCAATTGATCTCCAATAGAGATTTTGAGTTTGAAGTTAGTTGAACATTTATAATTTTATATAGACTGGAGTATAAAGACTCTTTGACTATAAGACTTTATGATAAGTTGATATTAACACAAACACATTAGCTTGGAAAGAAAAAAAAATCAGAATATTTTGATATTTGGTAAATAAGTTTTAATTCAAGAAAAGGAGGAATTGTAGTGTTTTATTATTGTTATAAAATTACATCAAGCCCCTGTGCATATTGATCTGTGACGTAATATCACTTATATGTATTGAGCATGCGCACTAGTGAATAAACGACATGTGAAGCGGCCATTACTAGTTGTTAGTTGTGTTCAATACGAACGGTTGAATCCGAGGACAATCCTACAGTAAGGAAGTATCTTTATTGTGTGATTAGGAAAACCTATTAACAGACTTAAACATAGAAAGTATTTTATCTTCGCTCATTCTTATTTCTGCCTTTAACAATAGCACGGCATCCACTGACTTTGTCCCATAGTTAATTCTTGCAGTTTGTGACCGGTATTGCATTGAGTGTTAGTGGACGTGTATAAGAGACCCTCGTTTGTTTTTGTACTTTTGTCATAAATATTTGTCATTATTAGTTCGATCTATAACGCTATTGAATCGTATAACATGAAGCTAAGTTAATTTTAATTTTGTACTCTATTGTAAATACTGACAAAGAGATGCCGTCAACACCATAACAAATCTAAATAGATTATAAAAGGAAGCTAGAATACAATGTTGTAAACTATGAACTTTAAGAGATAAAACACGTTTTTACATGCGAGATATATAATCTGAAGTGCACACGCATGAATGAGCAAGCATGTCTTAAAACGTTTGTCAAGCAAATGTTGTTCTAAAGAGAAATATTACCGCATATGATTTCGAGTACAGATAACTGTAATTGAACCCCATCTTACTGCATTCTGACATTTGTTGTCCTTAAAATATACTTACTGAGGAAACATGCAACTATTTCCTGCTGTAAGCTTTAAATACGCGAGTAAACTATAAGGCTAATTAATACATGTATGTTTGTGGTGATATTATCAAGATGTATTAGGTCTGTTACAGGTTTGTGTTTTGTCGGTTCACGTATCTTTCATTTTACCCCGTGTGTAAATAGCCCATTAAACATTACATGTTTCTTACCCCGTGTGTAAGTAGCCCATTAAACATTACATGTTTAAACCCTTTGTCTCTTACACTGTCAATGTTTCTGTGGGTATTGCGTAGATGTTTGTTGATAGCCCTCTATTAATTCCCAATGTGTTTCTGAAATATAGATCCCCGTTCTGACTAGCTTTGGTAAACAATTTATTTAGCTCTCTGGCAATGTCCTGTATGCTCACTTGCTGCATGTCTACTGATCTCCCTGATTTCTTTTCCAGTTTAAAAGTTAAGTCAAGTTAATTTTACATTGATCCCCAAAATAAGTGGGGTTTTTTTGTTTGGGTTTATAAATTACAATATTAAACGTGATTTTTATGCAGTGTTACTCTATCGACAAACCTAGCAACCTTTCCTTGATATAGTTGTTTTGCGATGTACTTTGTGGTTGAATATACCTGTACATTAGCATTTATTTTCTACTATTGTCACTTATCTTTTTGAATCTATAATTTGTTGGAATAAATGACTCAACATGTTTTAAAAAAATAACTATTTCTTCTTAATAACCAAAATGCCAAACATGATGATATTCGGCCAATAGCATACTGGAAATCAAGTCTGTTAGATAAAGTAAGTGATCTTGATCTCAATGTACTTAAAAAGTCATACAGGCTAAATGTTTCTTTTGCATAACAAAGAATTTACGTTTTGTTTTCAATTGAATTATTTTGACCCATTTTCAAGGTAAAAAAAATCAAATGTGTAAAAACTGTTTAAAGATTTCTTCTGAATAACCACAGAACCTCGGTTATTGATATTTGGCTTGCAATTTACTTATAAGCTAATAAATCTTCAAAATGGTGCAGGTTTTTTTCGGTTTCTACCATGTGTATATTCACTTTTTATGTCTTTGGGAAAGTGTACTTTTTAAACGGATATCAGTTGCTGACAGAAAAGCATTTCACTTTAGCCGTTGTACTGTGCAAAGTATTCTATGTCACAATAGTGTGGCGGCATTGCCATCGACATGCGCATGTTGATTCATCAACAAACGTCATAGTTCCGCAGTAAAAGACAACGACTTGTGGCTATAGTTCCTCGGGCAGAGAAATCGAATGTTGTTAAAGACGAAATAGAGCTTCGTGTGTTGAAATGTTTGCGTTGTGATTCTTTAAACTGATAGCGGTGTGCATATTTTCGCATTGGTAACGGTTCTGAAATCTAAATTAAAAAAACTCTTCTTTGATCTTTTATCATTTATCTACCAAACAATGAGACCGTTATACATAAACAAGTAGATGACGTCACAGGCCTACACACTGGAATAATAATGGCGGCTTTTTACATTTCAAGGACGCATGGAAATTGTCGTTTTACACAAATAAATGCCACAAATCTTGATTATATGACAAAAAGATCTTACATTCGTTTTCCTCTCATCTGAAATTGATGAAACTCGTCACAATACTTCATGTAAGCTCCACAGAGGCTCGCTCAGTTGAATAATTTTTAAACTCGTTTCATCAATCTCATATGAATTGGAAACTCATGTGAGATCCTATATACATCAAGATTGCACCTTGCAGATTCTCACGTATATTAATAATTATAATAAATGATAATACTAATTCGAGGTTCGTACACACCGCTTTATCATAATCTAGTTCGTAGGTCGTCTCAAAGCGGTTCACAAATTATTCTCCGTGGTTATAGGGTCTTTGCAACTAGCAATTAGCCAATATCTTTCTCAACTACCTAGGGAGCAACAGCCGATGCTGCCATTCCGGCACTAACAGCTATCATTCAACAATTCTAGCACTGCCCAACCACATACTTATTAACAGCTGCGTAGACTGGAACAACCGGAGTAAAGTATCTTGCTCAAAGATACAACACAGTGCCGAGACGTGACTCGAACCCGCACCCCTTCGGTCACGAGTCCGGCGTCCTACCACTAGACTATCGTGTCTTCACGTTTATTTATAGAAAACATAAGTATAAAAAATGAAGAAAAAACATAAACACCTGATACATACACACTATTTTAATAAGCGTTATAGAAATGTGCAAAACAGAACAGAATACAATATAAAAGTATTTTTAGAAACAAAAAACATAGCGTGTACCACATACAGCTCCCAAGATGTGAAACACGTTCTTTTGCCAGACGAATTGTCTATTATCTAGTACACGGGTGACAAATATGTCTCTACTTCTGAAAATATATCAAATTAAATTATGTGAAAATATAACAATGCAACTTCCCTATTAACACGTTAATTTCGGAAAAAAACTAATGGGAAACGTTCAATCCAGACCAACTATCCGGACACAGTAAACCAGGAACAACGTACAGGACACGTTACATCAAGAACAACTAACTGGACACGCAACATCAAGAACAACTAACTGGACACGCAACATCAAGAACATCTAACTGGACACGCAACATCAAGAACAACTAACTGGATACGCAACATCAAGAACAACTAACTGGACACGCAACATCAAGAACAACTAACTGGACACGCAACATCAAGAACTGACCGGACACGAACAAATCTGAAATAACTACATGACACGATACAC